CTACTACTACTACTACTACTATTATTATTATTATTATTAGCATCATCATCATCATTATCATATTGTTATCATTATCATCATTATCATTATCATTATTTATCTTTATATTAATATTAATTGTCGTAGTTATAAATTTATTAATTGAATGGAAAACATATTCTTGAATGAGGTTGAGGTTTTTGAAAATGGGATAGAATTTCTTTTAATGAGTCATGTTTGTCCACACATGAACAAAATGGAATATTGAGTTTGTTGGCCTGAACAATTGTCTCATGTTTTGCCTTCCAGGGAGTCTTTTATCTTTGTGCATAGTTGGGTATTTTTCAGACATCATGAACATGCATTAAGCAATGCTGCCATGCTGCCATCTTGACATCACTTATGATTTATTCATTGGCAAAAAGTGTCCAAAATAAACCAAAGAAAATCTACTCTGTCTTTGATATTCAGAGGCTGGGAAAACATTAATGGTCCTTCTGCAGTGACCATATTTGCTGCCAAAGCATGTTTCCAGTGTTGGATTTTCTCTATGTTAGAGATACTAAGATTTCGATTTTTCATCATCTTGTTATGAAGCATCCACATGTCCATTTAAAAAATGTATATACTTTCTTAGCTTTCCAAGAAGCAGCTTGTTTTTAAAATAATGTGTCTCTCCCCCCCCCCAAGCCAACTGATAGAATAAAAAATATAATGTACTGGCATCCTGATTCCTGAAGTTCATTGCATTCAGAAGCATCTCCATGCCAATAAGACACCTTTGAAATATGAAGTCATCTATTTATTTATGTTTAAGCTAACTGGGAGATTCCCTCAAGTATTTTGGTGGCGGGACCATGTTGGTGTCTACGTTTGGAGCAGCAGTTACATTGTTCTCCTATGTTATTGGTCTGTTCTAGCATTCGGGGATAAATAGTTCCAATGCCGAAGTGCTGAAACTGTACAATGTGACAGAGGAGGATGCTGGAGAATATATTTGTAAGGTCTCCAATTATATAGGGGAGGCCAACCAATCTGCTTGGCTTATGGTTCTGCCAGATAAAGGTAAAAATGTCTGTTAAAGAAAACTGGATGTAGAAGCTGGAAAAAGTGGTGCTTTGGGACTCTTCAGGCAGCTTCTAGGATAACGCCGTGACCTTGGTGTTTTTATAATCCTCTCTTGGAGATGCAACTGGTGTTACTCCAGTAGCCATGGAAAAATTCCCACAAATACTCTGTGTGTGTATTTATAGTCATCTGTTTTAAATCCTCTTGTATTCTTTGCTCTACTTTGAAGCATCCTTTGTGTCCATATTTATTTGTTCTCAGTGTCATCTGAAGAATTCTGATCTGACCACTCTTGAGTCTTTCCCAGTCTTGTGCTGTTGGCTTCTCTTTCTTAAACTGTGTGCACAGTGTGTTCGTTACTGTTCTCAAAGTCCCAGCTACTATTTGGGACTGGATCAAATGCTATGATGTAACAGTGCAACAATTATCTGGCTCTCTGCTGCACAAACATTCTAGTAGGAGACAGAATACTAATTCCCGCAGATGCATATGTTTGAGGATCCCATATTGATTACCCATTATGATTAGCTTTACTCACATTGGTGGCCATGATACTTCAGTCTTTTTGACAGTATGCTGGACCCTTAGCTAAATGAAGATGCTTCATATTATTAGTTTTTATGTCAGCCTATGTGGCGTTCACCCTAAGTTATGTATTATAAGCTATGCATTATTCATAAGTTGTATGTTAATGTGCTTGTGAGGCGGGGCCAAAGGGAGCTGCTGAGAGGCAGAGCCTGGGAGAGAGGAGTTCAGCCAGTCAATCAGAGAGTTATTAATTATTATGTAATTAATAAACCTGTTCTGTTAAAAAGTCAGTACTGGATGGACCTTCATCTTTTATAAGTAAAATAAGTCGATAAAAAGAATAAACTAGTGGCAGCGTGTCAGAGGGTGTGCTGAGATACCTTGTGAACTCTGTGTTTGGGGAGACAAGCAGGGGCCATGGGGTAAATGCCACAGCATGTTTGAGAGATAGTTTACGATGGTCTTCCTCATGGTCATTAAGCAAGTACTTCTGTTTTACAGAGTTCTTAATTCCTCTGTTTACTACGCATCACAGCAGAGTGCTAAATCTCTGACACAGGCTATTCTAATCTAGGGTTGTTTAACTTTACATTCCCTTTTTTGGGCTTTCAGTGGTCATACTGTATGCCTTATGTTTAGTTTTGATACATTATACCATATTCACTGCAAAGTTGCTTTAACATGAAAGACAGTTTTGCATCTCGCTCCTCTCAGTGGTCTATATCAATTAAAGCTATTATTTTTTTCTGGGCTGGGCAAAGTAAACTGTTCAGACCCAACTCATCACTAGGTAGATACTTTGGAGCACTTTCAGTCTCTATAATAGACCAAAGGGTAGATTTATCAGGAGCAGGCGGCTATTTTAACATACAAGTAGGCACAATTGGTTTCAGCCTCGATTCCCCTGACCACCCCCTGACCATCTGTGGCCTGATTTGCCCTAGAACTGCTGAACACCCATCTGTGGTTGATCAACATTTGGTCCTCTTATGGGTTTATTTGGCACAGTGTTACATTTAGACCTCAGGTTGTCATGTGTATCATGCCCAAAGGCACCAAGAGCATGAATTACTCTCAGACTATTCACTATAGGAAACTCTATGAGCACTCTTTAGTCCAGAGTATAATGAAGATTCCTGCTTTTGAAAACTTTGCCTTCTGTTTGTTTCCATCACTTCACATGTTTCTGCAGTTCTACAGCATTCATCTGAAGGACATCTTACATGACATAGCTGATGGTCCTTGTCCACATCCATCTGTGGATGTGCTCTTTTTTTGTGTGTGTCCTTGTTCTTGTGTGTCCTTTTGTATTCCAGTGTTTTGTGGATGAATTTTTCCATGTTGTTTGATTGCATGCATATGTAGGTGGTGAGTGTAGGTTTGGTGAAGGGTGTCCATGATTCATTCTTCTATGAGGTGAGCTGGGATCTCTTGGTAATTGCTTTTTGGTTGAGGGCTTTGTGTATGGGATCTCCCCACAGTGGCGGCACTGTTATTTCTTCTGAAGTGCCAAGCCCCCGTGGTTACACTTCCCATCCACAAGAATTCCTGAAATGTCTAGCTTTTCTTCTTTTGCTTTCCTTTTTTTTCCCCTAGGCTGCCGGTGTTAACACCACGGACAAAGAGATTGAGGTTCTCTATTTACGGAATGTAACTTTTGAGGATGCTGGGGAGTATACATGCTTGGCGGGTAATTCTATTGGGATATCCTTTCACTCTGCATGGTTGACAGTTCTGCCAGGTATTTACTGCTATCTTTCAGTGGTTTCCCACCTATCCTAGCTTCATTGTTGATTGCTACGAACTTAGCACAGCTTCTGTTTTAATTTACTTAAAAAATCAGCAAAGTGCTGCATTTCAGTTTCAAGCAGGTGCTCTCAAAACTTCACTAAATTTTTTCCAACTGTTTTAATGGTCATTATAAATTTGAAATAAAAGGCTTTCTGTGACACTCCATGAGATATCTAAGATCAACAACCATAAACCTCTTCCTGAGAAGTATTCAAAATTCCCCTGGGAAGTTTAGAATTTTAAAGGGAGGTTTTATTAGCAGCACTTTATGAAAAGCCTCAAGCCAGTCAAATTGCCTGGTTTCATATTTTTAACTGTGTGAATTTGCTGTGCTGAAATGTGAATACAGAAGCAGTGTTCTCCTATATATCTTTTGAAATCAATTTGGTGTATTCTTTCAATACTGCATGTTCTAAGCAAATGGCTACTAATTTGCTTTTTTCCCTGCAAAGCATGTTTCACCATGCTTAGGCTGATGTTGTTTCTGTCTTGAGCAGAAACACACATTAATATGCTTCTGTGCCTGAAAATGATTGCTTATCAGATAACATAGTTTGAAATTTCTACTATAGTGGAGCTTTTATTGAGTTGCTTTATTACTGCTTAATGCATCATGGTTATGATTTCTGATGAAACTTGTACTGTATGCAGCCAGTCAGTATATATATTATGCCTTAATGTCTTTTAAAAACAAAGATCCCTGCATGTATGCATTGCCAAAGTTCAGTGCTCACAGACTACTGTGCCACTATTTGAATTGTATCCACATTTCTAGTCTATTTCTTCTCTCTTTGTGTATGGAGGCAACCTGCATTGTTACCTGCCTTAACTATTAACTTTTGAGGCTTTCGAAGTGCATTCATCACTAAACAGGTGGTCAGTATTTAAAGTCACTGTTGCTTCTGCTTGCAGAGATATTTCACATTTGCAAGTATGTAAATACCACTTTTTAACTGATTTGCCCATATGCAATATTAACACAAAACAAAATGAAATAACATACTGCAGTATGCACTGCTTATAGAATAATCAATTATTGCTGTAGGATGCTTACCATCGCTATTATTTATTTATTTATTTATTTATTTATTTATATTTAAAACATTTGTAGACCACCCTATATCACAGGATGTCAAGGCCAATCCAGAGCTATATAAAACAGTTTTAAAACATAAGGTAATTTAAGCAATTTAAAGGACAAAATTAAAATATTCAAACACCAAAAACCTGTGCAGGCCATGATCCTCAATCCGCGAAGGCTCTAATACATTAGTATGTCTTGACTCTGTGCCTACATGATGGCAATGTCAGTGCCAATTGAGCCTCTAAGGGGAACCTGTTCCACAATTGGGGTACTACAGCAGAAAAGACCCTCCCCCTTATCTCCACATAATGGAGTATTCTCAATGGTAGGATATAGAGGAGGGCCTCCACAGCATATCTTAGTGATTGGGCAGATTTCTATAGGGACAAGCACTCCTTCAAATATCTTTCATCATCATCATTAATAGTGAGAAAAAGGGCTCAGGAACAGGTTACACAAACTAATGTAGCACGTTGTCATAATTATAAATCCCTTGCCATCAGAGAACACCCCCCCCCAAAACAACAACAACAACAACCCAACAATATGCCCTTATGCATTGCAGGCCCATACCCAGAATCTTTGAGCTGGAGTGGCCTAAGAATAATGATGGTAACAATCATGGAAAGTAGATGAGTTGTAATGTTTTCCTCCAGGAAATAAATATTCAGGCAAGGCAGTGCAAAGGCAGCCTGTTGACAACAATGGTCAAAGGATGACACAATGAAACAGTGGCAGTATTATTGTCAATGGAGCTTTTTACAACTGGACAATAACAAGTCATTGCCATTGCTGAAAAGAAAAAGCATTGGCAGTAAATGCTTGAATTGTCAGAGTGTCATTCATGGACTAGGACTGCGGAAAGTCAGACATGAGCATGTTCTGCTAATAGGCTTACCTTTGTAGCTGCCCACATGCATATGTAGGTACTAATAACAAAATTCAAAGTGTTTTCTCTGAGTGCAGTTCAAACTATTCCAGTTGGGGCAGAGTATAACTTTTTTTTAAAGCCAGTATTGTTACTGGAGCAGACTTATGAACACAAACCTTAGAGGTATATACCTGGTACACTAACCTTCCTAAATAATTCCCAACTGTTCTCATGGGATACTTCCAGTCTTTATACCATGATGGAAGGCGGAGGCCATGTTCTTGTGAAAATACCTCTCATTTTGATGATGGGTAGCCTTGTGGTCCTGTAAACATCCTTGGCAGAGTTCATGTAATTCCCAGCCAGAGGATGTAGCATTCAGCATATAGCCAAAACAATTTTTCCCATTGCAGGAGCTGAACAGATGCTTCACTGTCATTTGTCATTAAAATAGGAAAACATTACATGCAAGCTGTTCTGCAAAAGAGAAAACAAAGCCAGCATTCAAATCCATAGTGACAGATGTACCTGTTTTCTTTAATCAACATGCCCATGTTCTGTTCACTTATTTTTACCTACTATTATTCTTGAGATTTCTAATCTTGTGAAAAGGTCTGACTAGAGATATCCTCCAAGATTTGGCCTAAACCAAATTCTGAGGTGAATTTTGAGGTTTCTGTTCCAACAGAAGTAAGGGATTTTTGATCCCTTCAGTCAGACCAGAGAAACCTTTCAGAGATATCCTGTACCACATTTTGCCAACCTGGTGTCCTTTAGATGTTTTGTGTTACAACATCCTTTACCCCCCAGCTACCATGGTCAATGGTAGTATTGGCTATGGGTGATGGGTACTGCAGTCCAACACATAGGGAGGGCATGAAATTGGTGAGTAAGTACAAGATTTTTGTCTTACTGTGAAATTTAGACATCTTTGCCACATTTCCACATTCATCTGAAAACACTTTGAGGAATGGAAAAGGCATTTGAATAAAACTGGGTGTGGGGAGGTACAAGAGAGAGAAGAGGGCATTTCTCATATGCCTAGATTCCACATGGATTTTGGTTCTTGAGCAACTACATTTATGGAACAAAATCCTATTGCAAAAAAACTGCATGTGTTAGAGCAATTGTGCAAGCAGTTTTTGCATCTCCCAGACTCGTGGACATACACCTGAACACACAATCAGTAGCTTTATGGTTGTGTAACCTGGAGAAGACTGGGCGTGCAATGGACTGTTGAGATAACAGGTAGCATGCTAATGCAGTTTCCCTTAGACACTCACGTAAGGCAGTTGGATATTGTCCATGGAGGCAAAAAAACAACAACAACAACAACAGCAACGACAAAAAAGCTCACCATTCTCTGGCAGTGCAGAGGTTATGTTGTCCTGGGCTTTTATGCAAGCCTGCGTTCAGAAGCTAAACCAAAACATTGTGTTGTTGGTTGCAATGAACATTTCTTCTCCACCCATTTCCCCAGGTCATACTTTGTATGGCCTGAAAACCAGTCCTGAAGAATTCTTAAACTTCCATGGCTGGTTTTATCAGTGCATGGAACTGCAGTTTTATTTCACTCTCCTGATTCCACAGGATTCTAGTAGTACAAATTTTGTAGGATCCTTCCTCAGGTGATTCTTAATTTATTCCTGCAAATGTCATTATCTGCAAGGTGAAGTGGTCCCTGGAGTCCATACTCAGTCTGTAGTTGCCTGATTTGTATAGAGTTATGCATTGAGTATAACTCCAAGAAAAGCTGCTTGGGGAATTCTGAGAATTGTTGCTCAGTAAACATGATGTACAAATGTGTACTCCTCTTTCAAAGGATCCAGTTAGCCACTCGAGGTCTACTGACTTTTGCAGTCATCACCCAGTCCTTAAAAAGTACATTTCATAAAGAACTGTGGTAAAGGTAAAGGTAAAGGTTCCCCTTGACAATTTTTGTCCAGTCGTGCTCGACTCTAGGGGGCGGTGCTCATCCCCGTTTCCAAGCCATAGAGCCAGCGTTTTGTCAGAAGACAATCTTCCGTGGTCACACGGCCAGTGCGACTTAGACACGGAACGCTGTTACCTTCCCACTGAGGTGGTCCCTATTTATCTACTCGCATTTGCATGCCTTCGAACCGCTAGGTTGGCGGGAGCTGGGACAAGCGACGGGAGCTCACTCCGTCGCGTGGATTCGATCTTACAACTGCTTGCTCTTCTGACCCTGCAGCACAGGCTTCTGTGGTTTAGCCCACAGCGCCACCACGTCCCTGTGGACCTGCCCCAAATATGTCTGCATAGGAGGGTGTTGTAGCTAAAAATGAATGAGAATCCTTGTCAGCCAGGGGTGTTTCTGCCTGACTCTCAGAAATATTTTGATGCCTGAGTCAGGCTAGTTCATGCCTAAACTTTGTTATGCTTTGCAGTCCCATAAGCCTCGCTTTTCAGCTAGCTAATTCAGTGCTTGTTTGGTTTTCATTGTGTGTTCAGGTGGCGCACAGAGTTAAATACAATGCTCTTGAAAAATTATTTGAGTAAACCTGTCATTTGCTGCAGGCCAAAGATTGGGAAATTGGAATAAATATTGATTCATCTGGAGTGAATTATGTGCCCGTTTCCCTGTCTCAGGCAGCTTCGCTATAAAGATTTTAAAAAAGGAATGAGAAGAGGTGGTGATCAGAGGCCTAATTTCAATGTGTAGCCTTTAATTTTCAAAGTTAAATAGCACCAGCAATTTTACACTGCAGCTATTCTGTGCAGAAAGTATCTCAAAAGTCTCACTTAGAGAAGGAACAGTGATTTAAACCATTTTCTTGGGAAATGTTTTAATGAGTAGCCTTCCCCCCTGTTGAGGGGTGTGGGAGAGTAGTTATGATGAGTTGCTTGGAAAAATCTCTTCATGTAACTATTTTCACACACTGGAACTTGTTCACATTCTGCATCTTATCTCTAGTCTGATTTATTGTGCTTTAATTTTACTTGTTTTAACCTTGTGAGCTCACTTGAGTCCTCTTATGTGGAAAAAAAGGTGGCAAATAAATAACCGATAAATAAATAAATAAATAAATAAATAAATAAATAAATAAATAAATAAATAAATAGTTTACGGCAGAACTTGGGAAAATTACTTTTTACAGCCATACTAGCATACTAATTTAGGGAAATACTACCCACAGATTAACTTTACCAGGCTGTGATTTGGTCCTACTTTGTTTGAACAGCAAAGCTGCTGATCAATTTGCATTTGTTGTTGTATTGTATTGTTGTTGTTGTTGTTGTTTGTTGCATCCTAATTCTCTCTCATGATAACTATTCCTCCCTCAAACTTGCACTCTAGCTCCGGTAGAAGAGAGACCATTTCCCACATCCCCAGACTATGTGGAGATAGCCATTTACTGCGTAGGGGTCTTCCTGATTATCTGCATGGTATCGACTGTCTTCTTCTGCCGCATGAGATCCAGCACCAAGAAGCCAGACTTCAGTAGCCAACCAGCTGTGCACAAGCTGACCAAGCGCATACCTCTGCGCAGACAGGTAACAGAAAGTAGATAAAGAGTTTCAAAGACTTATTGCCCTTTCCCCTAAAAAACATGCCAGCAGATGTTTTTGTAGACTACAAGTTTTTGTGTCTAAGGAATGCATTTGAATCCACAGAAGCTGACGTTGTAATAATCTGCAGGCGTTAAAGTTGCCACAAGACTTGTTTCTATCTTCTTTTGTCTTTGTTGTAAAGACGCTGAGGTTCAATAGTCAAGTGACTGAAAAAGATATCAATGTCCTAAAACTCACATTTGTTTAGAATTCAGTGCTTCCTGACTCAGCAGCAGAACACAGAAATTTTACTAATTGTTTGGACTAAATCTCCCAGCATCTCCTAACAGCATGGCCAGTGGTTGGAGGGTTTTGTGAGTTGTAATGGAAAACCCCCCCCCATGTTTTGTGCAGAAGCAGTGAGCTTTGGTCAAAGAAGAATCAGACAGTGATTCAGTACTGAAGAGAGAGCTCTCTGTATAAGCTCAGAGGAACCTTGTTCTTCAGCAAATGCAGAGCATTTTGCTGATCCATCAGGCATTGTCCAAATACAGAGCAAATTTGTCCTGTTAAATGTTGGGTCAAATTCATTTGTCCAAGTTCTGCTGCAGATCCTGGAAACCCATTCCAGGTTGCATTAACCAGCTTCAACAGGGTGGCAATTTCTGAGCTGCTGATTGTTAATGGCAGACCATAAACTGTGAGTGTTATGAAGTTACAAAAAGGTAGTGTGTAAGAAAATAGTTGTTGGGATCTAGTAAATGGGAACAGTTTAAAAAAAGAAGAGGAAAAATCAAAACAGCAAATTCCCAGGTACATTCTTTTGAGCTGTAGACTATGAGATTAACTGCTATTGTGGGCCTGAGAGGGTAAGGGAATATATCTGCTGAATAGCAAGAATTTTGCTTTGATAAAGCATTCAGCTAAACCAACACATGCTACAGGGTAGGTGGGAATTTTGTTTTCCCATCAACGTTTTCCCTGTTCCTTCTGTCTCAGTAATCGAACACAAATTCTTCTGAAAGATTTGGGAATATATATTTTCATAACATGTGACCAGTTGCAGAGATTTAAAAAAATATTAAAACATCATTCCCTGGCTACTCATCCATATCGTGATGCAGTAGTATTGCAAATGGCCATTTGACTATTTTGTATTTTTGTTCCATTGAGTTAGATTTTGACTATGACTATATAATGGCTCATTTTTCTGTCATATACTGCAATATTTTTGACACTATCAGAGAAAGGGAAGAGGAAGGTGAGTTCTCAAGAGAAGAGTAGAAAGTGCAAATGAATGGAACACAAATGCTAAAGGGGAGGTTCTTGAATGTTACCCCTAAAGGGCAATGATCCTTGTATAAAATATTCATTAATACGGTTTTTCTGGACTATTGATGATATGTTTAGGTAGTTTTATACTATTAGCACTATCAATACTATTTGTACAAAAATAGTACAGTAGTAAGAGTACAAAAACAATAATAGCAAATTCATTAGTATTTAAAATTTGTTATGAAAAATTTACAAGATTTTTGTAATGAATTCTAAATACAAATGAATTTGTTGTTACTGTTTTTGTACTCTTACTACTATTTTTGTACCATTGATATTGATAATATTACTCTAATTTCTAATATTCTTATGTGTTACCATAGATGATAAATACTGTACAGTACCTTTTCTTATAGTTACTGCATTATTCTTTCAGACTCTTTGAAGGAGAGAGTTATGAGACATGAGATCTGAATGGTTTAGAACCACTGCTCTAGCAGATTGTATGGCCACTCTCTATAACACACAGAGTGTAATTAACCTTGGGTATACCATACATATGCATCTGTGCATGCCCACATCTACACCTGAAAAATCTGAATATCTTGAACTCTACCATGGAGGATATTCAGTCTAAGCCTGCTTAGAAAGGGCAGTTTCTTTCACTGCCTTAATAAAAGGAGATTGGGCTGGGGCTGGAATGAAAGCTTCAAGATGACCTGATCTCATATGGTGATGACAGAGAAAATGCCATTGGTACATAATGCATCTGTCAGTACGCAGACCATGGATCATCCTAAATTCATTGGCTTCCAAATGGAGGTTATCCCAGGCTGTTGGGTTTGTAAAATACTCTTTCATCAGTTGTCTCTTCCGTTGCCAACAGCAGGTTTCACTTTCATCATTTGTCATAAAGTTGCACTGTGGAATTTCACTATAGACAGTGGTTTTTAAAAAGTCATTTAAAACAGTATGCACTCCAGGGTTAATTTAAACTTAATACATACTTTTTCATGTCCCAGATCTACTAACCAGATGATTCCCCCCCCCCTATTTTTATAACTCTAGGAAAAAATACTATCTCCAATAGCATGATAGGTAGTTTTCTGGTAACAAGTGGTAACTTCAAAATGTTGCTACATGTTACTCCGTATTTTCAGATATGACCCCTGCTAAATTCTGATTTGGGAAAATGTTTACTGTATGTATCTTAAGGAACTATGTTCCTATTTTTATTGTTTCAATCACTGCTTATGCACAAGTTCTCCTGCTGCCAAAATCATCCCACGACATCAGTCAAAGAAATTATGATTTCCAGAGGCCAAGATTACGTGCATTTTCAGTTCTTTCTTTTGCTACAAGTAACTGTTTAGTTTCAGTACATTAAAGGTTAGGGTTTCATACTTTTTGCTGTAAATCTGAAGGAGTCAGGGAAACAGAGGATGTTTTGTTTAAAAGATGTGAGTTACTGGATTAGTTGAATGCTCTCCCCCCTCTTTTTTTTTAAGTTACGCTCTTGTCTGGCTTAGCTGTATTTTTGAGACTTGAGACATTTCCCCCTTATTTTTAAGCTTTAGAAAGATTAGGCAGCACAACTATTTTTATCAGTTGAGTTAAGCAAAAAGCTGTAGAATGTCAAATGTTCTTTCTTAATTTTGTGTTCTGTAATATTGGGTGTAAATAACCTGATTACCTTTGTACAGGCTTTAAGGATCAGATAGTTTAGATGACATGTGGAAGTCATGTGGATGAGTTGATGGCATTCACACATATGCAGATTACTGAATGAAAACATGGGCTCTACAATTTGTGTGTACTTCAGAATGTGCCATAATGCTGGTAGGAGATCATATGTAATGTTTCAGGGTTCCCAAGATGATTTAGTCACCAAATTCACCTGTACCAGAATAAGCGGGCTATAATTTGCAATAGAGAATTTTATTGACTCTAGACTTTGGTGACTCACTTCTCCTGAACCATATACTGGAAGAAGTTAGTCATGCAACAAATGTATAATATTTCTCAGATATACTCAGATGATGAATGCATTCAACACTAAGGATGGAATAAATTAAATTCTTTGTTGGTTTAACCTGTCTTGTGTCACCTAGAAAGTTGAAAAAGTTGAAAGTGCATGAGGTTTTTTTTGCCTTAACCTGACAGCTCAACATGAAAATTTCCCACCTTAGGCTCCCCATAATTTGTGCAAAACCAATTACATTCACTCCTTAAAAAATGAAGCAAATACAAACAGGAAGCACTGAAGGTCTGATTGATTAAGATTGATTAAGAACGAAACAAAACCTTTCCAATGCTTTATATTCTTAAAATGTCCATGAAGCAATGTAACAGCCATTCCAGGCTTACGCAAACATGGCTATTTACATAATTCAGACCATTTTTTGGAGGGAGGGGAATAGATAATTTGCACAAAACATCATTCTCTCTGCTGCAAGAACAGCAGCAAGAGCACTGCAAATTCTTCACCCCCTCACTTGCAAGGACAAGACGAACAAAGATCTATGATTTATTTTGCTTTATTTTGTTAGAGCAGCCCATTGTCTATGTTGAACTTGACCTTAAAATACTGTATCATTTGCCAGGTAAAACCAGCATCCAAAACCTGATAAAAACCTGTGGCTAAAATTCTAAGTGTATTTTAAAAAAAGAATGGCTCAAACAGGGATGCTTCTTCACAGATGGATCGGCAGAATTAGGAGAGAGTGAATGTTCTCTTAACCCTACTTTTTCTTTGTTTGTCCTGTTGGTTTTGTTCCAGAAGAAGTCAGGGTGCATTAAGGTGGACAGTTGCTCATGGTACCAATCAAAAGGCGTTGTGCAGCTATTCTAATTTTCCTTCCCTATCAGATTTTGGTTTTTTCTATGGAAAGAGAAAAGATGAGAAAAGTGGCAGGAATATGGTATCCACTTCTGTGTTTGAGGCAGATAAACCCACAGTAAATTCCTTACCTGGAAGTGCTCTTAATTATGGGAGCTGTCCGAAGGAAATAATGATGACTCCTGAAATTAAAACTTTTGGATTTGGCTTGATAGGCATGTATTTTCTCCTTCAGATGTTTATTTTTAGTTTAATGTTACTTGAGAGATATTCCGTTCTATGGCTTTTCCACACCCTTCTACTCAATCCAGGAATTAATATTCTCAGTTGCAGTTTCCACCAGTGCTGGAGAAAAGATTGTTTTATTCTTTCTTGTAGTCATAATGACTTGTGGTATTTCTTCCCTTTGTTAGAAGGCTTTGTAATTGAAAGGTCCTGACTCATGAATTGTGTCTCCTGACTTTTTAATTTATTTATATAATTATGGCCAGTGATTTCACTCAAAATTTACATTAGGTGGAATCCCATAATATATTTATTCTTGTTATACCTCTATCAATGTAAATTTAATCAGTGAATTGCTGCAAGTTAGGCACGCTGCTTCATGCTGAGTCATGTGACTCAGAAATTACACTTGTTAACCCTCTCAAGACATTCAGAACAAAGCCCTAAACAGCTTAGGTCCAAGCTATCTCAAGGACTACCTCTCCTTTTATGAATCTGTCAGGATTTTAAGATCAGCAGGAGAGACCTTTCTCTTGTACCTAGTGCCTTCACAGATGTACTTGGTGGGGACACGGGAGAGAGCCTTGTCTGTTGCTGCTCCCAGACTTTGGAACTCCCTCTCCCAGGATGCTGGCCCCATTATTGCTGTATTTCCTCAAGCAGCTGAAGATGTTTCTCTTCTGGCAAGCTTTCTCTCAGTGACTGATTGTGTGAGTGGGGTTTTAAAATGGACTGTTGTACTGTACCACTTTGAATGTGTTTTGGCGTTGCTTTTTAATATGGTATGTATTTGATCCTTTCAATATTGTATTCTCACTGTTAGCTTCACATGTCTTTTAATGTAGGAAACTAGAGTTTTTAAAGGAGAAATACAAGCTGAAAATAATGTAAGTAAGAAACAATATGGAAACACAGGAAAAACAACAGGACATATCAAAATCAAACAGAATTTTTCAGAACATTTCTATTGGGTACAGATTCTGCAGAAGTTTAATGTAAACGTTTTCTCCAAGATGTTCTTTAGAAAATGTCCTTCACTTCTATTTCATTGAGGACTCCCCACCCCCCTTATTATTTAAAGCCAAAAGTATCATGTTATTGGAGCAAATGTTTTCTACAGTTTCAATGTCTCAGGAAAATTGCCAGTTACAGAAGAGTTTTAGTTGTGTGCAAAAGGATAGATAGCATAATCTGGAAATAGAAGAATGGAGGAAGAAGATGTCCCAAATTGTATATCTGAATTTATGTTTGTGGACAAACTTCTTTAAGAGGTTAAGGAGCAAGCCACACAATATAAAATAATTTGTAGAAAATGAATATCCTCAAAACATTCAGAGGGACTTTTTCTGTTCTTTTGCTCTGTGGAAGAATAAGACTTTTAAAAGTGTAGGATTGTCCCAGAAGTCCTCTTTAGATCATAGGCCAACTCATACTGCTGTACTCTTTTTATAGGCCTTCAGCCTCCATAATATGGCACACTGTCCCAATGAATCAATCAAACTATATTACCTGTGTAATTAGTCCATTCCATTTTTAAATATATAGATATTGCTAAATAGTCCCTGCATAATAGGTCCATCCTTTCAGTGTAACCTTGTTGTAATCATGGAGGACTTGGTGAGAACAGTTACTATGTGAGCAAAACAAGCAGGATCCCACCCTTGATGGCACCAAATAAAACATTTGATAAATATTTTTTTCCAACTTGCCCTCGACACTATTGTGTGTAGCACAGTAAGGGTGTATCCTTTATTTTAAGTTTAAACAGATTTTTCTGAGTCAAACTACAAACAGCGTTTCTTTGTGTGGAGAAAAACCAATGATAAAGCCTCTGAGATAAGTGTTGGTAAATGGATATGAGTGATAAAGTGAACAACTTACAGATAATTTCCCAGTATGTATGAAGGATCACGTTAGGAATCTCTGTTTGTTTTGAAATGTTCATGCATCAGTACTCTTAAAAACAGCGTCTGGCATTGGGGAAGCTGTCAAACATCATTGTGTAGTACTCTGCATATTTTCTTACTCAACAGTGTATGGATTTGACTGGTTTTGCCTGTATTGAATTTTCACCAGGTTTGGATTTATCTTGAGAACTACTATGCAATTTCCCTCATTTTGAGGGTCATTGTAACTTACTACAGTTGGAACTATGATAACCGTAGATAACAACTACAGTTGAAACTATGCTCTTTCTTCTCCTCTTTCACAAGAGTTTCCAGAGTGATCTCAGGGCTGTGTTTGGTTTTCGTCTCACCACTGATTTCTAACAATTCCCATTTCACTATGAAATCTCAGTACAGCTTAAAATAGCAAGAAACCAACTGGAGGAAATAAAGCAGCAATCTTGCTCTTACTGCACTTCTCTTCTAAATGCAGAATAGGAACTCAACAGATGAAAGAGGAAGAAATGTGAAGGAATGGCTCGCAGTCAGTCTTGTAGTCACAGTTGGCATAAAGGATTAAATGGTTTCAGACATCATCACACTAGCCATTGTAGTTCCATGTTCACTTAGACTGTAAGTGGTTCAATTCAGACTAGACAGTGTGTGGCATGTCATTGCAGTCACTCAGAAAACAAAATTGTATTGAGTTATCAAGCTGGAAGAAACAGCAAACAGGATTTCAGTAGGTTGGTATTTGTCTTTTGTGTGTGCGTCACAGTTCTATTTAAATATTTTCTTTGGTTTATAATGTAATAATTGTGTGATGTCAAGTGAATTCTGACTTATGGCAACCGTTTTCAGGGTTTTCTAGATAAAGGCCAACCTTTCCCTTCTTCTGGGGTCATCCTGGCTACCATTTTGTGTTCTTCGCAACGACCTTTGCCTTACATTATTCTGAGGCATTATATTAGTAGTGTGGAGGCATTCATAAAGCATAATGGAGAACAGTTTAGAGAAAATTCTACAAGTCATCTTCTAATCCTCAGGGAGCAAGAAAAAGAAAGTGACCCCCCCCCCCGAGAATGTTTCTCAGTGACATATTATCTGTGCGCTAGTTGTCATCAATTTTCAAAAGGTTTTACTTCCCCCAGGAAGGAGACTTCCATTTTTCTGCCTCATTCTCAGGGCCCCTTAGCATTTCTCTTCATCTTACTGTAATGTTGGAAGGAGGTCAATGCTGTTGCATTGTTTTTTTCCTATTAGCACAGCTCATCATCACTTTGCAGCTTCCCTGGGTACTCACACTTCCCGATCTGAAAAAGTCCTGTGGGAAACTGCTATACAATATCTTCTGATGAACTTTAATTGAAGTGTTGTGAATGCTGACAGCTACAAAGAAAGCAGCATTCATGCACATTACTTGGGCAACTAATAAGCCCAGAAAGCACAAGAATTGTCAATTTCACCCATGATAATTTCTCTGAATTTTTAAAAGATGCTTTTGTTTTTTCATAAAATCTAATGGCAGTAGTTAAAGAATACAGGCAACATTTTTGGCACAGCACTACCTCTGTTATTGTGGTGTCTAACGGCATAACTCTTGTCTATATCAGATCCTTTTAAATAAGGGTATATCGATCAATAGCTTGCATATGAACTTGATATTTCTTGCATATGAACTTTCAATATGTTATGATTAATATCTGTTGTCATGTTAAAAAGTGATAATAGAGAAGTTTCAGCATGTAGAAGCAAAAATGCACATCAGGAAACACCTTCACCCTGAATCGTCATGAATTCCAGAATTAGTTTAGATTATGCTGGGTGGAAAGATAATTCCTTTTATTGGGTGGCATCATTGCTTCATCTTAATTACAACAGTGTTTATGAAAACAAGATTCCTTTACCCAGTCTTTGCTAAGGGGAATATCTCACCTATGTTGAAAACCTTGTTAGGGTTGCTCTAAGTGTGATCTGATTTGATGGCAAATAACAAGTATCGTGAACTCTGTTCAATTTCAAACTTTTAGATGGGGTTCTTTGGAATATGGTCACAACAGAAGTGAATGAAGCAAAGGTCAGCTACTTAAGGCTTATAAGAAAGCAATTTGGTATGGCAATAAAGGCATAATCCTAAAAGGTGTTCAGCCCTTCAGATATCTGCTTGGGTTTCAGACCTGAGGGTATTCCTGGACCGTCGCTACACATGGAATTTTATGTTGCAACAATGAAGAGGAGAACATTGTTTATGTCTGTTTACTGAAACAATTTCTGGTGTGAATTGTTTTTACTAAATGCAAATATTATGGCCATGGAGTAAATGCATTCCAAAAAGCTTTTATTTCAGTCTTCACATCTGCCTGGCATATGGTGATGAGGTAAACACTAGCTTACTGGTTTTTAGAGAAAATAGAGAATCCTTGAATCTTGATTGTGCAGGAATGGGTTTTTCCAGCAAATGCCTTACCATTGTAATATGTGGCTGAGACCCGATCCAACAAATGCAATGATTTATTTCTGCCTTTTGGGTGCTATTTTTAGTGGAGATTTTAATCTGACTATAATGTTTGAATTGCTTACACCCTGCTTAACAAACATAGTTTGCCTGCCTTGTTATATTCTGACATTTTTGCAATTGGCAAACAACACGTAACCCTTACTTGAAAATACTTTGGGGATACAACTGAAGACACAGGAAGAAATCTTGCGGATGTCAAGTCCTACAGAGCTTTCAAAAATTCTATAACAACTTCCTATTTGTACTGCCTTCTAATTTTAAATATGTTAAAGATATTTTTTTTTATTTTCATATTTTAAGGGTTTAGATAGATTAGGTATCTGTTAGAGATCCATTGTAAGTTTCCCCATAATTCTAGACTGAAACCTGCCTAAGATTTTCATAGATGTTTAGTTTATTATAAAACAGGGGAACAATGCCTAAAGAAAATTGTGGTTTTTCCCAGTATTTTTTCAAGTTTTAAAAAATTATTGGCACTGTTGTTCAGAATTACTTTTCACAATTAAAAAAGCTCCACCGCATTAGAAGCTGCTTTAACTTGCTAATACCCCTTTCAGAACATAATCTCTGTTTCAGCAGAAATAGTATTACCATCTAGATAATGATGCTAATGCTTTCTCGCGACAAGAGTAACAAACACTGGTTTGATTGAGCCACTTGTGACTATAGTGTCAGCCAAGTTTTAACAAGTCCCCAGGTTGTACTGATGAACTTCATGAGCTTGACCGAGAATTTAGAAAATGTGCTTCTCTCTCTCTCTCTCTCTCTCTCTCTCTCTCTCTCTCTCTGTGCAATCAAAATGGACACAGTCCTTTTAAATTGTTCTTTAGTTAGAAAATGGGAGAGAAAGATTGCTGCAGGCATGATTGATAATTTATGTTTATACCTAATTAGATCTGCATATTAAAAGTTGTATGGTAACTTTCTATCTATAACTATAACTTATCTGCCCTGTAGGATTAAGGGAAAATTTAGTGAACTATGTCCCATTTATAAGCTGGCTGGCTTGGTATCTGTTGGCAGTTGGCAATAACCGGGCCAAGATTACATCTTCTTTTTGTGTCTTGCATTCTAACAACAGGTATCTGCCGACTCTAGCTCTTCCATGAACTCCAACACGCCCTTAGTGAGGATAACTACTCGCCTCTCCTCCAATGCAGATGCTCCAATGTTGGCAGGAGTTTCAGAGTACGAACTACCAGAGGATCCAAAATGGGAGTTCCCAAGAGATAAGTAAGTCAACTCTTGCCATTAATCACTTCCCAATTACTACCATAACTTTGGAAGAGTACCTCCATCAGTGACAGTGTTCTTAACACCATTTGTGCTGGCTGATTCTAACGCAAACTGTGATTGTTATTTTAACCCAGCATTTTTCTATTCTGTAGAATTTTTGGGCCACCTGGATTGTTAGTTTTGGAGATAACATCTTTCATTTTCACATTGCTGCCTGCCTAATTATTCAAAAAGTCAATAACCAGAAATTTTAAAATGGTTTAAGAGGAGTAAGAAATGTTTGCCTCTCAAGTTTGAAAAGCAACTGAACCTTTACAACATAATGTCCTTCAGTTTTAAAAGAAACCTTTGTTCAGGTGAAAAACAGTATCATATAGGAAAATTAAATTATATCCCCAGAGTTTGACCAGTACAGTGTTCCTCTGCACTGAATGTATACTTATGCACACTGAAGAGGAACTGAGAACTTTTGTGGTTTTAATGAAAAACATGTATAGTTTGAGATTCTCATATGTATCACATTACTTACATAAGCATGTTTGTTACATCTGATAAAAAATTGTATTTCTATATGTTTGCTGCTATGATAATATTCATGCTGATAATTGGAATAATGGAGTTGGAAGGGGCTTGTAAGTCCAACTCCCTGCCCAATGCAGAAATCCAAATCAAGGTATATCTGACTGATGGCCATCTTCCTTTATTTTGAATGGCTCCAGTGTTGGAACACTCACCACCTCCTGAGGTAATTGATTCCGTTGTCATACTGGTCTAACAGTTACTGTAGGAAGTTAGTGTCTATGAATTGTCTATTCAGGAGCTAAAAATAGCACAGTGGCTGAAATCCTGTCGGTGTAGCTACACTTGCAGAACAGTGACCACATCACCACCAGGGTGAGCATTTAGGTGCTGAAAGACTTCCTCCTTCTATCCTGCGGCTTTCTGACTTGTAAATAATCCTTTTCATCATGTGAAACCTGTGGGAACTGTGGAATCAGATTAGAAGGTCTTCATTACTGAAAATCACCTGTAGGTAGTAGCATCAGATGCTGACAGGGATTCGCGATAAGGAAAGACTTCCTCCTTCCATCCTGAGGGTCCCAAAACTTCCATATGATGAAAGGGAGAGAATTTGCAAGTCTTTCATTACCAAAAAGCAAATCCTGCTGGTGGTGTCATCATCCCTCCACAGGCTTAGCTGTGCCAACAGGATTTCAGCCAATCTCTGTCTGCTGGCTCACGGTTTAATAAGACACAATAAAGAGGAATGTATCGAGGAATGGAAGGAATAAGCAAACAGGGAGCTAAGTCCCTGTAGCTATTATTTTCTGTTCAGATAGAATTAGCCTGAAACTTGCCTGCCAAGTATCACATTATTATTCTGTTCTGACAAATTATTGTTTATTCTGATGTGAACAAAAGGATTTCCATGTAAAACATAAGCCTTCTGTGCTAAGGCACAACAGATCACATCCAAAATAGTAATATGTACGGAAATATACGCTTCTTCACATATGAAGCCTCATGTGGTTGCCAGTGCAAAAGTATGTATTTGAGGAGTAGAGAGTTGCCTACCACCTCTCTTTGACCTGGGTTCTCTGGATGGCATAGGGTCTGCTGAAACTCTACAGAGTGTATGACTTTCTGCCTAACACCAGGTGTGATACAATGGGATGAGTTATCATTTTGAATAATCACCGACTACTCACACTGTCAGGAATTTATGCAATACCTATAAACTGCCTTGAACCTAGCAGAAAGTTTCTTTCTTCTTCCCCTCCCCCTCCCCTTGTTGCACGGTTGTATAAATATACATTCTAGCTAATTCTGAAATCCCATATAAAATGTTAATATAGTAAAGTTGCTGAGTAAGTGAAGACTTTCAGCCATACAGTGGAGCATAGCTTGCATCACACATTTTTAAAAGCCTGTTGTCACAACCCTTTTGGTGCACAGTGACATATGTCAAGCCTGAGTGCTGTTGTTTAAAAGCTGATTCTGTCTATGGTGAGCTGTCATGTAAATGTGCTCCTCCAAAGGTTAAGAAGAATCAGTGTGCATGAGACTAATATATGATGCCCTGAAGAGGTTTTCAGGCAACATAAACCCCTGTCTTCCAATATCATCATATTCTGATCCTTTACGAATAGTGTGTGTTAGTAGTTATATACATAATGAATGGTATTCTTGCATTAAAACAAGACACACATTAACCTCAGGATTAATATTAAAGCCAGTAGAAAATAATGCATTTTTAGAGCCCACTGTCTGATTTCAAAAACTAGAAACCACTTTTAGAACTTTATATGTGGTGTTTTTCTTTAAAGTAATAAAGCCTTTCATGCACATTTGTGAAAATATTCTTAATTACATGAACAAGAGGTGGTGCCATGCATTTCTCTTGCCACCTGCAAGCTTCTAGTCAACAGTGGGGGTCTATATATTAATCCTGTCAGGCCTATCCCTTAGGGAAAACATTAATGCGGAAAATCTTAGAGCATTAAACATTTAAAAACAGCATTTGGCATAAATGTGGGTGGAGCAGGTTTGTAATGAAAGAAGGCTTTTAAAGAGCAGTTTATTAGATTGGGGGCCTCAGGCACACAATGACAGGATTGTTATGTTCATACTAGAAGCACAAGAGTACATAAATTAACCATTTTCCAATGCAAATGTTTGCTTTCTGCCAAGAACTTAAATTCAATTTTCGTTTCAGAGAAAATGCAGCATGATCATGACACAAAAAACATATAGCCCTTTTGTCTTTGTGGATTGTTGAAGCAGCATGCACTTTTCATAACAGATATAATCCAATATATATATTCACATCAGCATGATTACACTGAAAGCTTTTTTCAATTAAGACTATATTTAAACTCATCCCATTTGATTTTTAATCATGGCATTTTGCCAAACCTGCTTAATTTCCTCCCCCCCCCACAAGAGAACACAGTGTACCTCTCTTAAATGAAATGTATTCATATAGCTAGTGGGTTATATAGACAGTTAGTGTTAATTCAACATATCATTTGGGTTGAATTCCCAATCTGAGATTTTTACTAACAATGCCTGCTTGTTGCAGAAGCCGGTTGTTTCAAACAGCTGCAAAAAATATGGAAAAGAAAAAGAAAATTCCCAAGCTGCGTATGCAAATTTTCTTGACACATTTCAAGATTAAATTTTATGGGCAGTAACCTGTTCAATATTTATATGTGCTGAGCTCCAGCTGCAAAATGCTTGCCGAGGAAGGCCAGCAACTCCAAGTGATGAAGACCAGTACCTCATCAGGTCATTGCAGCAGCTTCTACAGTTGGAGCTGTGTGCACATAAACATAGAACAAGATTATCAGTTTTAGCATTTACAGTGGTGCGACAGAGTTGCCTTGCCTTGCCTTTGCAATATAGATGGTCATGGGACACCTTCTGTGAATATGCTCCTGAATCTAACAGCACTGAAATGATGCAAATGCTCCCTCCAAACAGTTCCCAAATCATCCCGATGAGATGATGCAATGTCAGCATCCAAGTTGAACTGATGTCTTTCTCCAAATCTGTAGACCAGTGGTTACCAACTTTGGGTCCCCAGGTGTTGTTGGACTACAACTCCCAGAAATCCAATCCAGCACAGCTAGTGGTGAAAGCTTCTGGGAGTTTTAGTCTGACAACATATTGGGACCCAAGGTTGGGAACCACTACTGTAAACAAAAGGGTTAAACTTAGTTTCCATCTTGGGAAGTTATTTTAACTTGCATCCTGACACTGCAATGCCTGGTCAAGATGATTTTCAGACTTCTGTGAATAAAAGAAAATTTTAAAAATTAACCTGTCAGACAGACAAAAGTGCATATTAAATTGGCATTGAATATACAGTATTCTATCATATTATTCTCAGTATCCAGTTATTGGTAGCATTGATAATGCTATCTCTGTGGCCTTTTGTGAAACAGCCCAGTCCAAACTAATTTCATTTTGCTGAAATGCTTATGAC